CAGAATTGTTGCTTGTTTGATATATAGTAATGACCTAGAACTGGAAGAGCAGAATGCAATTTCAGAATCTGCAGATGACATAAAACTTGGAAGTATTGTATACAATGAGGAGAGTGGTGATAGGCTTCAAAAGCTGGGGTTATTTTCCTTCAGATACAGTAGGTTAAGAAGAGATTTGACTGAAATATTGAGAGGTCTTCCAGAGTAAATGGGGGAAAATTCCGTTCCAGTCATTCCTTCACTGTTGCTGGCTCAAAATCCTGGAATTTCTTCCGTAGCAGCATTGTGGGTCTACAACACATGGATTGCAGTAATTCAGGAAAGCATCTCACCGCCACCTTCTCAAGGGCACCTAGGGGATAGGCAGTAAGTGCTGGCTAGCCAGCAATGCCCACATGCGCGAGTGAATGAAAAAAAGTGCTAAAAGAAAGGTCAAGAATGAGAGGATATTGACTTAAGATGAATAACAAAAATACTAAAGGGATGATTCATTTAGGCTGCTTCTGAGTTTCCTACCATTCTTATTGTTAATCTTCAACCAATTCACTTCACTCCGTGTAATATCAAGAAAGTGATAAAAACACTGAATGCAGCAAAAGCTATGAGCCCTGACAACGTTCTGGCAATAGTACTGAAGACTTATGCTCCAGAATATGCCGCTCCCCTAGTCATCTCTTCCAATACAGTTACAACACTGGCATCTAACCGACACTGGAAAATTGCCTAGGTATGTCCCGTACACAAAAAGCAGAGGACATTGCCCTGTCCAAGTTCAGCACGGTCAATTACCACTGCATCAGTAAATGTTGTCAACAGTTATATTAAGCAGCACCTGCTCACTGATGTCCAGTTTGGGTTCAGCCAGGGCCGCTCAGCTCCTGACTTCATTACAGCCTTGAAAGTGCTGAATTGCAGGGGTGAGGAGAGAGTGATAGCCCTTGACATCAAGGCTACATTCAACCGCCTGTGACATTAAGTAGCCCTAGATAAATGGATTGAATGGGAATTGGGGCAAACTGTCCATAGGTTAATGTTATACCTGGCACATAGCAAGGTGGTTGTGGTTGTTGGAGATTGGACATCTCAGCAGAAGTTCCTCAGGATTTGTCCTGGGCCCGTCCATCTTCAGCTGGTTCATCAGTGACCTTCCCTCCATCATAAGGTCAGAAGTTCACAGACGATTGCACAGTGTTAAGCAACATTTGTAATTCCTCAAATACTGAAGCATCCCATGTTCAAATGCAATAGCACCTCAATGAGAGAGGTAGTATCAGACACAGAATTTATAAGTAAAAGATCAAAGGGTCACAGCACTGATGAGGATCAGTTTCACTTTGATCTTATACTTATAAATTCTGTGTCTGATACTAACTCTCTCACTAATACCTGAAGAAGGAGTAAGACTCTGAAATCTTCTGTTTTCAAATAAACCTGTTGGACTATAACCTGATGTTGTGTGATTGCTGACCTTGTCCACCCCAGTCCAACACCAGCACCTCCACATCATGCAATAAGACCTGGACAGTATCCAGGCTTCGGCTGACGAGTGGCAGATAGTTTTCAAGTCACACAAATGCCAGGCAGTGAGCATCATTGAATCCCTAACTATTAATATACTATGGGTTACCATTGACCAGAAACTCAATTGGACTCGCTACATAAATAGAGTGGGTACAAGAGCAGGTCAGAGGCTCGGAGTACTGTGGCATGCACCTCACCTCTTGACTCCCCAAAGCCTGTCCACCATCAACAAAGCACAATTCAGGAGTGAATGGAATACTCCCCACATGCCTGGTTGAGTTCAGCTCCAACCCTCAAAAAGCTGGCTACTATCCAGAACAAAGCAGCCCGCTTGATTAGCAACACATCCACAAGCATCCACTTCTTCCTGTGCCGATGTTCATTTGCAGTAGTGTGTACGATCTGCAAGATGTACTGCAGAACCAAAGATACTTAGACAGCACCTTCTAAACCCGAAATCAATTCCATCCTGAAAGACAAGAGCACAGTCTGTATCCAAGACGCAGCCCACGTAGTCGACACTCCATCCACCATTTAAATCCTGCAATGGCAGCAGTGTATATTATCTACAAGATTTGCTGCAGCAAATCAACAAGGTCATTTCAAACATGTGACCTTTTACTGCCTCAGAAAGCAAAGCCAGCAGTCACATGGGAGTACTATCACTTGCAGGTTCTCCTCCAAGCCACAATCATCCTGACTTAGAACTGTATCACTGTTCCTTCACTGCAACCAGGTCAAATTCCTAAACATCCCATATATAACTCCAAGACAGCTCATCACCATCTTCTCAGGAGCATTCATGGGTGGGTAATAAACGCTTGTCTTGCCAGCAATGCTGATATTCACAGCAGCTTTTATTTTTAATGTGATGTTCCATAAATACATAGTTGAAATAATAACAGAAAATCTTTAAAATACTTAGCACATCAGCAGGATCTTTGGAGAGCGAAACAGAGTTGATGTTTCTGCTTAGTGATCTTTTCTCAGAACTGTTTAGTAAAATGGCCATTCTCTTGTTAATATGTGCTTAAGTAATTATCAGCTCAGTCTGAAAAGTGAATAATGAATGCTGAGGAGACCATTGCCATAAAATAATTTCAACAAGTTAAGCATTGAAATATGGTCTTTATAAATACTTATTATTACCTCACCTAAATATGATTGATTATTTTTGTTTTAAATTTTATATCTATGCTCAGCCAGAATAATCTTGCCCAAACTTCCTTCTGATGTTATCTTTTTAAGGCATCCATGTGTTTTGAGTTTGAAAGCAAATGACATCTTGTAGATCTTGCTAAACGCACAGCTTGCATCCATATAAATACGTACACTTTATAGGCCATTTGAGCAGCAAATGATGGGGGCTAACTGTATTTGACACACGCAACTTCTTACCTCCACGCCAGATAATTGCATTGTCAACTATTCAGCAAAGTGGCAGGTGACATCTGAGGCAATTGACTAGCTGAGTTGTTCGTGTTGGACTGTCAGCTGTTCAATCAATAGAGTTTACAGAAGACACCCTGATTGCATCTGTAACTAATTTAACTTTGAAACCCCTAACTCCCCTTTGCACAAAGTTGCAATTCTATTCAGGATGTGCACTGAGTGGCAGGTGGAAAAATCAATGACAGCTTTCTGCGGTCATGCAATCGTGGGTTTTTGCTCTGCATGGTTAACTAGCCGTCTTGACTTCAAATCAATGAACTGATCAATTGATTAAATTAACAGTGATTTTCTTTTGGGTTCGCAGTCAGGGCCTTACATTATTAGTTGTGTTGTCTTTTGGGGTAACTCACATTTATAAAATTTAAGGCTTATTAACAACTCAGCACTTAGAAATTCCACCTTCGCCTCTCTTTCAACACTTAATGTTAATTAGTTGGGCAGCAGCCTTGGCCTTCTGGGATTTGGGATATATTTGACAGAACTGGATTGGGTTACTGCATCACAGGCCTTTTGCTTCCTCTTTCAGCAGTTCAGAAGCTGGTTAAGCAGTCCTGATAGGTAGAGCATGATTGATGGGGAAGTTTGTCTCTGGTAGTGTCAGGAACTTATAGAAGTGTCAGTCAAGATCGGCGCCTGAATTACTTGTCACATTCTGTGAAAGAATGTCGAAGAAACAAGGAACTGCTGCATTACTTTGTTTTTTTCCACTAAATGACCCACGTCTTAGTTGTTTGCTATTTGTGGTGGTTGAAGGTTAAAAAGACAGCTTTAAATAGAGTGCATTTACAATGTCAGAAGTTAAATCTGCAAGAATTTTATTCAATTGGGCATCTAAACAAAAAGATTTGTTTTTGTTATTTCAGAGAGTTTAACATGGTACCTCTTTCTGACCGAGATTGGTTCTCTATAATTTGAAATTCAGGATGTGCTTATGTACAAATACTAAGCCTATGCGTATCCATACCATATTCTTAAGACTTTTCAAAAATTTCCAAGCAAATTAAAGTTTCAAATTCGATTTCTTTTCATGGATGAGAATAATCCAGAAATTCAGTATTAACTGCACATCAGTGAGAAGGACTGGACTCAGATCCAGATCAATTCTGAAGCAGATGTAGTCTGGCAACAATAGGCAGTGAAAACAAAATGACAAATTCCAATGTTGAATACTTGATACAACAACATGGCAGCACAGAGTCATACACCATGGAAACAGACCTCGGTTCAACTTGTCCGTGCTGACCAAGTTTCCCAAAGTAAACTAGTCCCACTTGCCTGCATTTGGCCCGTATCCTTTTAAACCTTTCCTATTCATATACTTATCCAAATGTCTTTTAAATGTTGTAACTGTACCTGCATCTACCATTTTTTCTCTGGCAGTTCGTTCCACATACGAATCACTCTCTTTGTGGGAAAAGGTTGCCCCTCGGGTCCCTTTTCAGTCTTTCTCTTCTCACTTTAAAAATAATGCCCTCTAGTTTTGATCTCCATTACTCGAGGGAAAAGATCTTTGCTAGTCACTTTATCTAGGCCCCTCATGATTTTATGAACTTCTATAAGGTCACCCTTCCACCTCCTACACTCCAATGGGAAAAAGTCCTAGCCTATTCAGCCTCTCCTTATAACTCAAACAATCCAGTTCTGGCAACATTCTTGTAAATTTTTCCTGAACTCTCTCCAAATTAATAATATGAAGACAGTGACACCATGAAGTGAACGTGTTGGTGTCAATCCAGTGAATAGAGCAACACTGTACAATGAATAGATCAGTATCAAGCATCTTTTATTGTTCTTTTCATTTTCATCTTACCTTCCCGCACAGCAGTTCTTACATCGCTTCCCCATTTCAAATTTAATTGGGCACTGTTCCTAGTTACCTGTTTAAAAAAAGTCAAGCAAATTATCTGGGTTGAAGATAAATAATATTCTTATTTCTCTTAAGTTGTGAGGGAGAATGAATTGTGCATGATGATATGAGTTAAAGGGTTTTTAATGAACAGTTTCTTTAAATCTTCTTTTCAACATAGGATCTGGCTTTGTCACCTGCAGCAGTAAAGAGAACCATGACAGTGATGCAGATCTTGACGTGGATGGAGATGACACCCTGGAATATGGGAAACCACAGCATCCTTTTATTTTTTGATGAATAAGTGCATGATTTGATTCTTTTAGTCTGTCAGCAGTGACTTTAGATAGCCTGCTTTTACTCATTTTATTTTTCCTGAACAATCTATTTTAAGAAAATACCTCATCCTTAAATAAGTAATATCTAATATTTTAGCTGATTAATCATCTTCACCTACATATTACCATACTTTCTAATACTTGGGTAGGGGCCCACAAATGCTCCCATCTGTGTGATATCTATGTACCAGCACTACAGGGTATGACGACCTACTCGGGTTGAAATGTTGGTGGGTAATGGAAACGCCAGCATATTCAAGTAAATTATCTGTTGTAGCTCAAATTAAAATGACAGATTTGAAAATAATTTGATATTGAACTGAATTGGTGCTCTTCCAAGTCACCATCAATCTTATCTTTGCTATTGTAGCCGTGACTGCGCTATTTATGTTACGATCATAATTCAGAAGGCATTGGTGCAAAATAAATTTCCCAGGAAGAGAACCAAATAAATATCAGCTTCTCAAGGGTATTTTTGGGATACCAGAATGTTTTCTTATTAATATATTTTCTAATCAGCCTGTTCAGTAATGTTATTACACACCTCAGTAGCAGGTAGTTCTTGAACCAAGCATCCGGTCTGAAAAGAAGAGACATTACCACTACACCACGAGAGCCCTCCCAAGAGTTTTCCTTTTTTATTATTATTTAAGCTATTTTTCTAATCAACCTGTTCAGAGATGTTATTACACATCTTTGGAGCAGGTGGGACTTGAACCCAGATCTCTTGGTCCAGGAGCAAGGACACTTCCACTGCACCACTAGAAGGCTACCAAGATGAAGTATAACAAACTTCAGCTGATTTTCTTTTGTTGCCTTGTTATGCCCTTAATTTGGCTAACAGATACACAGAGGCAGACATTATACCTTGCACCGGAGAAGAACCAGGCGAGGCCAAAGAGAGGGAAGCACTCCGGGGTGCTGTGCTAAAGTAAGTGTTTGTCTTGTTTCTTTGTGATTTTTGGTTCAAAAATACCAATTAAATTAAAAAGTATTCTGAATTCTTCCTGTTGGAAAGCACAGTCAAAATACTTGACCTTTTACCTCTGTGACATTATGCTTGATGGACAACAGAGGGGATGAGCAACACTTCTTGTGTCTGGGTTTGTGTGAAATTAGTTTGGTGTAGTTTTAGTCCAGTTCTTTGTTCAGGTGCTTGAAATCCACAAAAAGCCACTGCTGTACTGTTATTCTTAGTCTGAAATTGCAGGAAGGATTAGCATGTGACTGGAAGTATCACATCTCTGAGTTTCTGATCTGAGATTTGAGATTAAAAAAAACACAAAGGTGTTACCTATACAAGAAGGGAAATATTTTACTCTGCAGAGGATATCCTTCATTTATAACCTTTTCCTCTATGATTCTTGACTCATTTCAAGTATTTTCTTTTTTTATTATTGAACTATTAACTTACTCACCAAATTGCCAGTCATTCTAATGGTTTACTTAGTTCCATGATATAGAAAACGTATTTTGATTGTTACATTTGATGTTTGTAGAGCAACCTCCAGGATGTATTTTTTATTGGTCGCTTGTATAGTGAGTCATCCGTATTTTCATCCCTTTGAAGCTTTCATGCCAATCCTTTTTAACTGTGGTAATCTGTCTGTTTACATTTTTGAGTTGACTAACTGAAGATAAGCAGTTTAAGCAGTCTGATTCCCTAGTTTATAGTAATCATTCTATTTTTTGCAGTTATAACAATGAAGTCCTTCACAAGTAATTGCTTAGTAATCTGGAACATAAACATGCCTAAAAGGAAACAAGAAGTCAAAGCATTTCATCTTGAACTCATCAGGACTATGATGCAAGAAACAGAATTGAAGAAAGGGACACAATTTATACAGCATGAGAAGGTGCGGATTACTTGGGTCATCATTGGCTCAAAAATACAGCAAGAACAGTTAAATGTAAATGTTAGTTAGACAGGTAGACTCTGATTGGTCAGGGTGTTGCTATTAGAATACAGCAGAGGTTGGCAAGCTCTATGACCACTTCCTATTTTCCCATTAAAAAAGAGCAATGTATGAATGAATTCCTTTTGCTTACATAAAACAGAGTCTTGTATATTCACATGTGTAGCTTCTAGCATGTGCAAATGCATTGCACTGGAATCCTGTCTGGTGTTCTTAAATTGGTTTCTGGTGTAAATTTTGGCACAGACTGGATTAGTTAATAAATAATTTTGAATAGCAGGGCCACATGTATTGGAGTATGTTCTATTCTGAGACTTGCAACCACAGGCTGGTTGAGCGCAGTTAGCATATTGCACTGGAAACCAATTCAAGATTGTCAGTCAAGCTCACAATGTGATGCATCTGCATGTGACATATACATAGGATCCAGGCAAAAGGGATTCATATATACATTGCACCTTTCTCATGGGAAAATAAGTAGACCTCAGGGGGACTGCCAGTTTCTGCTGCATTCTGATGGCAACATGCTGACCAGTCAAATTCTGTGCCTGGTCTGAGAATTATGATTGGCGGTTAACTGTTCTTGCTGCATTTCTGTGCTACTGATAGCCCAACTGGTCAGTATCCTTGTCAGAACAATGACAAGACAGAGTACAGAAAGGAGATAGAGAGCTTAATGGCATGGCATAGAGATAATAATCTTTCCCTCAATGTCGGCAAAATGAAGAAGCTGGTCATTGACTTCCGGAAGCAGAGTGGAGGACAGGTCCCTATCTGTATCAATGGTACTGAGGTGGAGATGGTTGAGGCTTCAAGCTCCTCGAGTAAATATCACCAACAATCTATCCCATTCCATCCATGTTGACATGACAGTCAAGAAAGCACACCAATGCTTCTACTTCCTCAGAAGGCTGAGGACACTCGGCATGTCCACAATGTCTCTTACCAATTTTCATCGAGGTACCATAGAAACCATCCTGTTCGAATATATCGCAGCTTGGTTTGGCAACTGCTGTCCCCAAGAATGCAAGAAATTTCAGAAAGTTGTGAATGCAGCCCAGTCTATCACAAAAACCAGCCTTTCTTCCATTGACTACATCTATACTCCCTGTTGCCTTGGGAAAGCAGCTAACATAATCAAAGACCCCTCCAACCCTGTTTATGCTGTGTTGCACTCTTTTCCATCAGGCAGAAGATACAAAAGTTTGAAAACACAGCAACAGATTTAAAAAAAGCTTCTTCCCTGCTGTTATCAGATTTATGAATGGGCATCTCATATATTAGAGTTGATTATTCTCTGCACCTTCTCTGTAGCTGTGACACTATATTCTGCTTTCTGTTTTATTACTCTGATGTAGTTATGTAAGATGTCATTTGTCTGATTAGCATGCAATACAATACCTTTCACTGTACCTCGGCACAAGTGACAATAATAAATCAAATTCCTTTTTTCAAGTCTGTTTGTAGCATAAGTGCAAGATGAAAAGTTTTGAGTTCTTGTCTCCTTTTTAGCAACATTTACACTCTTCATGAATGTAAAAACTACCATTTGAGTTGTATTTTTATTTTGTGAGAAGTGTATTAGTTCCTTCAATCTCTCCTTAACTTTGAAAAATCTCTAAACTGGCCAGTTGCACTGCTTTGAACCATTCACAGTCTTTGTGTAGTACAAAATAATTATTTCATGTATGAATTTTGATTTCTTAGGTTCTTGATTGCAACTGTATTCTGCATTTGTAAGTATCAGACAGTGCTGTTAATAGGTGTGACACTAACCAGGATGTGTTATTACTTTTGCAGTGGTGGAACCCCGAGCAACAGAATAACACCAGAGTTTTCCAAATGGGCAAGTGATGGTAGGTAGTTCAATTTCAGTTGGATTTTTTTACAGTGAAATATATATCCTTGTTAAACTATGAGTTATCAGAATAGGAGATTTAAGCATTATGATTTGTTGTGACATCCTTATGTTACTCTACAAATTGTTATGGGATAGTTTTGGGTTGAAGTGATGGTTGAAGGGAGTGATTCTCTTTTACTGTGGGTTGTGTATTAGGAGGGAAATAATGTAGCAGTGAGGAAGAAAAACTTTTGCTCAGTAGCACATTTTTCTGTCTTTAGAAGATCCTAACATGTTCACTGGATTTTGGAAATTTTATGGCTCCATTTCCAGAAAGAGGATTTTGAAAACAAGTTAAATTTAAAAGAGATAGCAAGAACTGCAGATGCTGGAGTCAAGAGTCAATACAGTATGGGACTGGAAGAACACAGCAGGTCAGGCAGCATCAGAGGAGCAGGAAAGTCGATGTTTCGGGTTGACACCCTTCATCAGGACTCCATGTTGACTTTCCTGCTCCTCTGATGCTGCCTGACCTTTTGTGTTCCTCCAGCTCCACACTGTATTGAGTTAAATTTAAAAGTTGTGTTTCAAGGCAAGATGTATTAATACCAGTTTAAACAAAAGTACTTGGACAGTTATGTCTGGTCAGTAAGCTTGTAGCTATGGGAAAGAAGGAAAAAAGGAAATTAACAGCTTCAAAATAAACTGTTAAAGAAGGATCCTAAATATGGCTCATTAAGGTTGGGTGAAGTAAGGAACTAAGAAAGATGTATTGAATGAGACCTGCGAAACAAGAGAATTCTTAAACAATATCAAAAGAAGGAAAATTCAAAGAAAATTTCTTTGGGTATGTTATCGTGCAGAAGGACTGGAGCGCCTAATCCCCAGTTGCAGGATTAACAGAAGAAGAGGGCGATAGCAATAGCACAGGAAACAGCTAGAAAACATGAAAGACTGGCTTACCCAGTATTCCAACACAAGGTTGTCCACTGTTGCTATAATCGGCAAGTTTGGAATACCATATTGGCCTATGCCCCTTGCCATGGCACTTGCATGATGACTGAGAAAGTTAAAATGCTATTTTGAAGGAATTCGATGCAGTTTCCCAAAGACTTTTGAGTTACTGATCTGTTGTCTTTCCTTAATTTTACTGTTTTTGTTCATGGTTAGTCCATCAAAGATTGGAGAGGCACCTGAGGGTATACACATAAAGCATGAATATCTAGTGTGGACTAGCAACAGTATACTTGTGGTGCCCTTAGGATTATGCTGTCGTAGTGTAGTGTTAAGGGCAGGCATGCATTTAAAGGAGTGAGTGATGCCTTTGAATCCAAGAGGGCAAGCAGAACTGGGAATTGTAACAACGCTTCACAGCAAAAGAAATATTGTATACTGATCAGTCACTGTTATTTCTTGGGAAATGCAGAAGTTTTGAAGATGCAATGTAAATGAAATAATCCATAGATAATCCACTTCCAACGGTTTTGGTTGAGTATATTTATCATGTAGCTGTCTCTTCACTCTGTATTAAAATGTCAGTCTGGGTTCTTAAATGTTGAAATAGGGATTGAACCAGAAAGTTTTCTGACTTTGGTGAGAGTACTATTATCTGAATTAAGTTAAAATTACAGTAAATTATTGCAGTCTAGTATGTTAATATTTTATCCATTTATAATGTATGCACCTAAGTGAGCTAGTTTTGCTTGGTGTTGTACATGTCAACTTTTTTCAATACCTTAATATTGTTGAGGAAGAAGTACATTGGGCAAAAACAGTTGTCTTTTCATTCCTCTGACTTAAATAGAAATTCAGTCAGGGATATGTGCTGATGTTATTGGTTTTAAAGGTTTAAATGAAAATTATTTTTGGCTATTTTTAACTCTATTCTTATTGGGAGTACAATGCATAAAACTATTGATAGAATAAATACACTACCTCAAGTACACGGATGTGCGATTTTGAAAAATATAGATTTACTTTGAAGTAAGTGAATACCTTGGATCTATTTTTATATTTGATTTCTTTATAGAAATGCCCTCAACAAGTAATGGGGAAAGTGGTAAACCAGAGGTACAGACACAGAAGACTTGTAAAAACAGCGAGATTGAAAAGTAAGTGCTGATGCGTTAATGGGATGAATCAAGACAGTTTCTGTCCTGATTGACTCTCAAAATAGAAGGATTGCATTTCCATTATCTGCAGCAACAGCTTCCAAGTTGTTTAGTATCAATGCATTTTCAAGATAGAGTGCAGAAATTGTATTGTAATTTTTTATAATCTATTAAGTATGTGTTCAGTAGCAAGTAAGTAGAATAATGTTTGAGAGGGGTCGTAACATTTTGCTGCAATTGTTTTTTACAGAAATCCTATAGGGCCATATTTTTTATGTATCCCAAATTTCTGCCGGAGAATGTTTTAAGCCTTTAGAGTTGTGCAGGTCTCATGCTTAAGATTAAAAACAAAGTAGGTAGTGAGTAAGATCTATCTAGATTTTCTGACTGTTGAAGGACTTAAAAGATATATAAGTAAATTATATGCTGTATATTATTCTGTTTAACCTAGCATTTTCCAGGAGCAGCAGATAATCTTTTAGGGAAAAAAATTGCAAGAACATATTTTTGTATTGTTAGATGATTTTTGATATGCGTGGCCCCAGCTATTCGATTACTTTCTCTATAATTTTCATGTATAATTTTACAGTATATTCCTTATTTATTCTACTGTGTGGTATATCTCCTTAAGTTATTTTGGTGGATATGCGGCTTAATTTTCAGAAAACTTAGGCCTTTTCAGGAAAAAATGTCTGATTGACTTCAGCAAAACTAAAGCAGCAGCGGTAAAGTTTATCCAGTTCACAAGCACTGCAGTAATCTTGTCTTTGGTTTTGTGCTCTGGTTAATTGCACACATACATGGAAGAATTAGATCATAGAAGATCAGATCATAGAATACCTACAGTGTTGAAACAGGCCCTTCGACCCACAAGTCCACACCAACCCTCAGAGCATCCCACCCAGACCCATCCCTGTATAACCCACCTGATCTACACATCCCTGAGCATTACGGGCAATTTAGCATAGTCATTCCACCTAGCCTGCACATCTTTGGACTGCGGGAGGAAACCGGAGTACCCGGAGGAAACCCACGCAGACACGGGGAGAATGTGCAAACTCTACACAGACAGTCGCCCGAGAGTGGAATCGAACCCGGGTCCCTGGTGTGGTGAGGCAGCAGTGCTAACCACTGAGCCACTGTGCCATGCCAAATTAGAGGGCGCCTTCTCTGTTTCACCTTTCTTTATCTGCATCTCTTTGTACCATCTGACCAAGCAGCTACTTATGTTAACTTTCTTCATGTTGGTACTGCTGCCAGGTCAAGAGTTGTCACACCATCTGGATCAGTATTGCTTACGATTCAAGTAATTAATAGTTAGTCCCTTTACAGTTGATGCAAACCTTTTTGAAAGTCTTTTTTAGAAACATGACTACAAACAATTACAGATTTTGCAAACATTTTGAGGAAATTATGTATTTTCTTTAGTGCGTTGCTTCCAATACAAAGGTGCTCACATTGTGAAAGAATGAAAAGCACAGCATCGGAAGATAGAAAATTTGCTGGTAATGTAATAACAACATTGCCTGATTTCCATTGGTGCAACTGATTATGGCCTACCTAACTGCTAGATATGAAAGAGGATTTTTTTTTAGAAGGCATAGCATTAAGTGCACAGTCTTCAGAGTGGAAAGGTAGGTTAGAGATAGGGTAATGTTTGAAAAGGAACGATGGATTTGAACATCATGGGTTGAATGACCTCCAGTTCTGTAAACATCTATACATAGAGTGGACTTTTGGAGGAAAGTTATTGTCTGTAGTTTTGAAATGAAGAGAGTTGATGCCTCTTTGCTGTTTGCAGCAATCCCAAGGATGAGGCAAAAGGGAGTAGTTGAAAATTGAGTGAAGGATTAGGCAAATGTTTTTGTGGAAGAGATGAATTATAGAGGGTGGGAAGGAGAAAATGGGAGGGAAATTTCAAATTGATTAAGGATAAAAAATACTGTACAGGACTTGGAGTTGAAATTGCCAAAGTCAAGAATTGCTCAGTGTGGAGGCAATGAAGAAAGATAAGTAATATAGTTTAGGAGACCTTATCAGATGGCAGTATGGTGTAACCTGTTTGCAAAACAATTTCCATTATAAACATAGATGCAGCAATTTAAAGTCGAGAAAAGTTTATAGTAGAATCTAAAGTTTTCTGAGTCGCAGGTATGTTTGCACATATTATTGTAACATATTGAATCATCTCGCTTTCACAGAATTTGTAAGACCGAAAATATACATATCCTCTGACCTGTAAAATGCAATAGATGTTTCTGACGCCATTATGTACACTTCTGTAAAATGTGTTGTCTTTGTAAAGTTTGTTACAGAGCTGTATAAAAGTTAGCACATTTTACGACTGCACAGCTTGTAAACCTTGATAGCTTTACAGTAGAGATTGTAACAGAGATAATGAAAATCTGGTGATATATTTTTCTTTGATATTAAATGGATAAAATGGCATCTTGTATACAGGTAGAATTTTAGAGACAAAACATTCATGTTATGATTGACAGTGCTTCCTAATGCACTTTATGTGATGGTACTACAAATTCTTTGTGAGAACAGATATGTAGCTAAATAGCCAGAATCAGTGGATCAATTATCAGGGCTTGCAATGTAAATAAATGCAGTCATGTTTTATTATTGTAATCAGTCATTTCTAAAATAGAATGGATTTTCTTTATCTTTTTAAAGTACCTCGTTATTTTACCTTTCACTAGTATTACTGATGGGGATAATAATTGGGTGTTACAATTTTAAAGTGTTTTCAAAATATTCCATCAGTTAAATGTGTTTTTAATGCAAATATTTATGGACTGTTTAATTTCACTGTGGTTATTTTTTAAAAGTTAAATTGATATTTTGATGTAGAACCACATTAATATTGATTGTTGTAATTGGTTTATGTATTGTCCAACTTCGCAGTTTTAATTCATGCTTTGTCCATTTACATCCACTCTGAGAGAAACAAAGTGTGGTTACAGTCAAAATGTGGTTTCTGAAGAAGGGTCTAGGCCCGAAACGTTAGCCTTCTTGCTCCTCTGATGCTGCTGGCTTGCTGTGGTTACAGTCAGATGGCTGGATAGGGAGGGTGAATCTTAATTTTATTTCATGCCCTATTGTACATTGTTGGCTTGTGGTGGTTTAAAGACTGTTCATTTATATATATGGGAAGTGTCAGTTGGTAAGAGTTGGAAATGGGCCTGCAGTCAAATGATCATGCTAGGAGGGCATGAGGGATAAAAGAGAGTTTAAATTGTAGCTCCAGTCAGGTGGCTGACAGAAGTTGTAGGGATACTTAGACCTAAGAAGTCATGAATGGACACAATTTCTATCAAGTTATTGGAGATGGACTAGGTGTTTACAAAGCTATTATAACTGGAAATCTTAAAAGATACTTGCATATTCATTGGAAATAGATCATGTTTTTTGCAAGACTGCTTTTTAAACAACTTTAGTTCATGGCTTGCTATCTTCCCTGTTTTCCTTTTTCTTTCTTTAAGTAACTGACTATCCAGTTGTCCCAGAGAGGAAATGAGTGTTTTCTTAAAAAAAAAATTAAAGAAAATGAAATGTAATGTATTCTGAAAGGTATTTGGCAAGCTCGCTGTGAATAGCTTGGTAAGCTAAACATCCTGACCCTGGCTTATAGAACAGTTGTTCTAATATTGTTTTTGCCTCTATTTTTGATCTTGCAATGTGAAAGAGACTAATTCAAACTATAAATAGATTTGGGACTAGAATATCGTACACTTGAAAACTATAATAAAGAAAAGTTTTGGAAATCACCCATATATATAGTACATATGCGTAAAATATTCTTTCTTTTTTAGTAATATACATACTTCTAATTCCCACAGATTGTATACAAATCTCTGTGGAAAAGAGATGGGCATTCCCCAAGCCTCAGGAAGTGAGCTGAGGATGCAGAGGTTAATCGATCTTAAGATTGTTTTCCACTGACTCTAGGTGGAAGAAAAGTGTCTTTGCTCAATCTCTCCCTTTGAATTTTCCAGCTGAAATTGTTTCTTTTTTTTAATAAGTTAATTATGAGTCTGTCTATTACATAAATTCTGTAGTATAGTGAATATGCACACTAATCCATTCTCTCACGAGCATGTCTGTTTCTTACCCCTATCCATAAATCATTTGTCTGTATAATTATATTCATTTAACAGTAATTTGTACGTAAAGGGGATTTCCATTGTGAGATTCATAATGTATGAGTGGCCCGTGGCACATTTTGCTGGTGGAATTTTATTTATTTTCAGGAAAATATATAAATTAAGTGCATAATCTTTTCAGCTTTGGACTTGCTGTGCTTTGATGCAAAATCAGATAATAATTAAAGCAATAGTGCAGTATAATCTATATGTTGGTAGAAAGGGCAATCTGTGGAACACATCACTTGTAACAAGAATTTACATGTGCAAGTTTTTTTTAAGTTAACCAGAGTAAACACAATAGATTCTTGCCATTTCTACTCACAGAGCAGAAACATTAATCAGAAACATCAAGTAGAATCAACTGTATCATTAATATGAACAGGATCTGTCAGGGTTTGATATGAGTCAACTAAAACAAGAGCATTCTTTACTTCTAGTAATGCTTTCAGGGAAATCTTGGAAAATATAGTCTGATTTTATCAACAGTGGCAGCTCTTCCTCTACATCTTTTCATCTCCCTTCTCACCATTGCCCCCCCTACAATCCACCCCACAATTATTCTATTCTGTGAATTTATACATGAGCAGTTCTGTTAAATACTTTGTCACAGCCTACAGAAGTTTAGACTGACTGATAGCATTGGGCTGGTTTGGATGGCCTAAATTAATATTAAGGGTCATATTTTGGAGGCCCTGGCCCTGAGACTAGTGGTCTCTGACTTGGGGGGAGAAAAAAAGGGTGATGATGTATGCCTAATGTGGCAGCAAGAGGCCTTCAGTCGAGATTGATTCATCCTGGGCCAACACAGACACTCTGCAAACTGGGAGACTACTGCTGGCATGATGT